AAAATTTACAGAATATTAAATTAAATTATTAGAAATGGAATTCGATCGAATATTTTCCGATTTTAAAAATTTTGAATCACAATTTCATTTCTTAATTTCACCTGTATCTATTGATATTGTAATTGTTGATGAAAAGTTACAGATGGAATTAATAGAAATATTTTCTGATTCTTTGCCGAAGCAAACAGTTTCAAAGTAATAAGTCTAGATATTTATTCATATTCATCTGTAGATCGGTTTCTTAAAATGTTATCATTTGTTACTCGTATAATGGCTATGTTCGGAAGCAATCATTTTCTTTAATGAAAAGTAACGAAAATTCAGAACGGTCGAGATTAAATGATAAACATTTATCATCATTTTTTAAAAATTATATCAACTCAATATGTTCAACCAAATTTTGATGAATTGCTTTGAGAAATAAAACGACGTCAAATATCTTCTAAAATTAACATTACATTCTATTTCGTATAATAACTTTTATTTTGTTTTTTTATAAAACAATATCAAATATGTATAGTTTAAAAGTAAAATGAAATATTAAACGATAATTGTATGTATAATATATAATACACTGAGTCTTATAAATACATTATATAATCATCCTAAAAATCCTGTTTTGTTCATTTTTTGAACATTGAAAACATGCGGCCCTCAACTTAATGTAAAATAGCACATGTGGCCCGTAATATCAATGAGTTTGACATGCCTGGCCTACATCTACAGAATATCAAAACACAATATTTAATAATCTGAGTGATGACTGGTGTCAAATTATACTTCTCTCTTAAAATAAAGAATTACTCAGATTTTATAAGTGCAAATAATTATGTAATTCTAACTTTATGCAAATATATAAAACATGTGAACTTGCGGAAAAAGGTTTTGTTTCCTACACTCCTCCCTTAACTGTGACTGAGCTCGGTACTTTTTCGCCTTCCTACCCCAACTGAAACTTTTGAGACCCCGCACCAGAACATTCTGGAGACAATAGATGCAAGGCCTTTTGTCCGCACCTACCCGCAGCACCTTCAAAGGTATTTTACATGTATCAGCATCACTACTTTAAGTTGTAAAGTTTAACTGTACAAAAAACTATAAATATAAACAATAAGTATTATCTCCATCTCTGGATTTTTTTTTCAACTCAAACCACGACACCAATTGGAGGCACCGGCGAGATCTTCATCATGATTCAGAGAAGCAAGAGATAAGAGTACTATTTTATATTTTCATTCAACGTTTGATTTTTGTTTCTCTTACTGATTCATTCCGTCCATATTTCGTTTTATCAAAAATAATGGACGCCGAAATGGCTAAAGTGCTACGAGGCAGAGCGAAGACTGCACTTTCAAGAACTAAAAATTTTATTGAAAAAGATGATCAAACTTTTAACAAAAATGATATATGCAACAAGTTGGAAAAACTAGAATTAATTTATACGGAATTTGATAAAGTGGATGCTACATTACCATTCGAATCCTCTGAAATGGAAGAATTCGAAGCAAAATATTACGAAACCAAGGCTCGACATTTAAGCATTTCATATCTAAGATATTCTAAGATTTCATATTCCTACAGAATACCTTAGAAAATTTATCTGTGAGAACAAATGTATATAATGATAATTCTGATGTTTTTGAAAATATGTATCAAATGTGAAATTTAGCAGTTTTAAATTACCAAAAATTAATATTGAGCGTTTTTCTGGTGATTATAAAGATTGGCCTTCATTTAAAGATTTATATGTATCACTAGTGCATGATAATATGTGTTTATCAAATGTACAAAAATTTCAATATCTTAGAGGTTTATTGCTGTCAGAAACAGCAAACATAATTAAGCATATTCCTATTACTGAAACTGCTTATAACGAGGCTTGGGAAAAATTATTAGCCCGTTATGATAAAAAGAAACAAATAATTTTTTCACTAATTAAAACATTAATAGAACAACCTTCTCTTAATTATATTAACACTAGCAACTTACGCAACATAGCAGATACTTCCGATGAAGCAATTAGAGGTCTTAAAACTATTGATACTAAAGCAGAATCTAGAGATGTATGCTTGATTTACATTTTGTTACAAAAGGTTGATTCTAAAACATGCCAAGAATGGACATAATTCTCAAATAATATTGATTTTCCTACATTTGAATCCTTTATAGAATTTTTAAATAACAGATGCACATATTTAGAGCTTTACAGTGAAAGTGTAACAAATTCAAAATACCACCACTACACCGCACCTACCCGCAGCACCTTCAAAGGTATTTTACATGTATCAGCATCACTACTTTAAGTTGTAAAGTTTAACTGTACAAAAAACTGTAAATATAAACAATAAGTATTATCTCCATCTCTGGATTTTTTTTTTGAACTCAAACCACGGCACCAGGTTTGAAAAAAAAATTTTAAACAACTTATAAGTATTCGTCAGCGAAGAATTCAAGATCAAGTTTTTAAAAAATGTCGATAAAAATATTTGAAACATTTTTTTGACGTGAACTGTTGTTTTAGCAAAACAAATGTTATCAAGTTTAAAGAATTTGATTAATTTTTTTAAAAACTTTTCCATTTCATAATACTTATACACCAAATGAATACGGTTAACTAAAGTCTCGAGTACGTTTTTATTTTTAAAAAAATACCTACGACTCTACTTGTGTATGTGTGCTTATATCCATACATTTATTTTTAAAAAATCACGCATATACAAAAGGATAAAAAATTAAAATCTTTATTTGTTCGGATAACACTATATTTTCCCCTATTATGATATCTCTTTCCATATTATTTACGCTCGTTTTAACTTGACAGACTTTCCTCGCTTGAATTTGAATTTACAGACGAATAGCGAAATTGATACGGGTATAAAAAAGAAAGAAATTATACACTTATGCATCAGTTTCAAATATAAATTAATTTTATGCTTTTTAAAGCATGTTTCCGCTGAAGCATACACACAAACACATTCTGTATGTGGAAATAAAAAAAATATTGCATTGTGCGTGTGTTTTATTTATAAGAAAAAAAATAGCATTTCAAAAAAATACTTCAAATAAACTTTTAGGGTTTTTTTCCAAAACTTTTCCGTTTGATTTGTTAATATCAAGCAAAATAAAAAAAAACTTAGTAACTCTTTGTCTGGAATTGATTCTCAATGCACCAAACGTATTTAATAAGAAACTTATTTCATTTTTTATTGGCTTTAGAAATTTTGAGGATTTGAGTAATACATGAGAACCCTCGTCATCAAATCACTTTTTAGATTGATGTAACTGATAAAACATTTTCTGTCGGATCTATTTTATGTTTTCACATAAATTGATTATAATTGTATAATTATGTTATAATTGTTTCCATAAAACGTTGGATATTACTATTTAAACAATAATTGTTTCCATAAGTAATTTGTATGTAACCGCGGTAGCTTAGTGGTCAAGGTAACGAACTCGTACAGAGGGGCCTATGTACGTTAAATATGTCAAGGCTCAAGTGTGCTACCGTGAGTGTGATGTGGAAGTGTGTGTAGGAGTGCTTGCTCAGTTTTTTCTTCGTCACTTGACCACTATTCAAAATGTCACTTGACCACTTCACCAAAAGCCCTCGAGTAGCTGAATAGTGCGACGTAAATACTCAAGTCATTTGTAAAATATAAGATGCGAAAAATGATTATTCTGCTGTTAGAATTTTGTTTTAGAATTTCGTAGCTCGACCTGTAGCTTGTTGCTTGCCTTACCGATTTTTCATCTACGTCACGTGTTGAAACTGCACGTGGGTTAATGACAAGTACCTCGTAATTTTGAACCATTGTCAAATGAAGAGGACGACACCTGAGCAGACACGCCACACTCCCTAACTCCTCACCACGTCAACTTTTGGCTTTGTAATGACTTTTGGCACCGAGGGATTTAACGTACGTTGAACCCTCTATATAAAAGGTCTTTAGTGGCAGCAAGAGTAAAGAATATAGCATCGATACATATGCCCTGTTCAACCAATTTTAAGACAATTATGACAGCATTGGTTGGAAGATGCTATTTGAAGTAATGTTGAAGTTGAGAATAAAACACCCAAGGAGTCAGTTATAACAAAGGTGGCCTTTAATAAAGCGATATGCAGAATTAAGTTGGGGGCAGAACTTTCAGATGTTTTTTATACTGAAAAAACAATTAACAATGAGATTAAAATAATGAGATTCTCTTTCATGCTAGTTATTTAACCTTTCCCTGGAAAAAGCAATAAGAGATTCAGCCACACAAACATTAAAAAAAAAAACATCTTCACAAAATCTGACAGCTATTAGCATATGCAAACGATATAGTAGGAGATAGAGTGAATACTAACGTCACAATCTATTCAGCTACACGAGGGCTTTTGTTGACTGACCTCGTAATTTTGAACCATGGTTAAGATACGAAGACGAAACTTAAGCTGGTAACCTCTTCTCCTAACGTCCACACCACTTCAATATGAGGCTGTTTAAGCCTCGACGTGTTTCATGTGCATCAGCCTCCTCTACATTACCGATTTTCAGCAGAATAAGGCTTGAACTCATGTCACGCTGGCCACGAGTCTGTTACTTTGACCACTAGGCTACCGCGGCCATAGACATAGCGCGAAGAAAAGAACAACGATTATTGAAGTGTTTCGTGCGCTCGAAATGACAGAGCAAAAAAAGTTGGGTTTACTTGTCAATGAAACAAGTAATATAAAAAAAATTAAGTCAATCCCTACATTGGCCAACAAAGAAAATTTGTATTTTAATTGCTTTTCATTAAATAATTACAATTAATACAAACATGTATGTAAATATGACAAAATCACAAAATTAAGTTACAAAATAAAAAGCTATTTTCCTTGCAATTTTCCATTTTCCTTTTTATAAAATGTTTTATACTATTTGTTGTTTGTTACTATATATTTATTCATAAATTTAACTTAGTTATTCTAATAAAAGTATAGCAAAAAGAAATCACATTCTCAGAAATTAGGCCATCCCAGATGGGATTCGACCTTTGGATTAAAAGTCCAACGCGCTATCCATTGCGCTACAGGAACACGACGAGCTATTTTACTTTCTACATAAGTTGTTGGACTATTATTTTTGCGTTCATTACTATTCATTCATTAATTAAATTTAATTAATGAATTAAGATTTGAAAAAACTGTATAAACATCAAAGTCATTCACTACAAGTTTTAAAAAAATGTATTTGAACTTAAGTGGATGAATAAAAAGTATTTTATAAGCGATTAGAATTTGAAAAGATATATATACATATATAGGAAGAGTGTGAACTAATAGTAGGAACTGAAAAAACACAAAGTTTATGGCAGTCTCAGACAGGAGCTTGAATCAGGGATCACTGACAAAAAATTATTATGTTTTTGAAGAGATCCGACAATTCAAATATTTAGGTACAATTGTAAATAACAACAATAATATAACGATCGAAATTAAAAATAGAATCAACATAGCTAATAGATGTTAATATGGTTTGGAAATCCATTTAAATCTAAATTTATAAGCTGGGAAACAAAAGTTAGAACTATACAAAACACTTATAAGACCCATAGTTTTATATATAGTGCTGGACAATTAGAAAACTTATTGAGATTTGAACGAAAAGTATTGAAAATAATTTTCGGAGCAGTGAAGGAAAAATGGGATCTGGAGAATACTTTACAATTGTGAATTACAAAGGAAGTACAGAGAACCAAATTTATTTAAAGTAATTAATGCTTTTTTCACAACTAGGGTGGCTTGGCCATATATTCAGGTATGATGACAACAACCTAATTAAACAAATAACGTTTTTGAAACCAGAAGGCAAGAAAAGAGAAGAGACAGACCCCGTATATGATGGCTAGACAATATAAAAAAAGGCTTTCGAAATATTGGCATTAAATAGATGGAAAACAATGACAATAGTCAGATCAAGATGGTTTAAACGGACTGAGATGAGTGAGTGAATATTAACCTCACCCTATTCATCTACACGAGGGCTTATGCCGAAAAACGAACTGAAACACCCTTGGATGAAAATCGGCTGTAGTGCTTGTGAAGAAGAAAAAATGGCACCACAAGATCTGCATCTTGTTGCAGTTATGTTTGTATATAGAAACCTGTGTTGGATAGAGCTAATGAACGAAAATTATATATAATACAGCGTTTCTCAAACTGTGGAGTGCGACCCCTAGGGCCGAGATAACTCTACAAGGGGAGCACGAGCATACTGAAAAGTCGAAAACAAATGATTATTTTTAAAAAATTGTTAATTTGCTGAAAGAAAACAAACAAAATTAATTCTGATATTATAATAAAACGCATTTACACTGATATAATACACTTATAAATCCATCAGTACTGCTTAATTTCTTTGATAATTAATTTAACAATATTAAGTTAAGAACAAGTTTAATAATTACCAGTGACTTCATGGGTTTGTCATATATAAAATTATACCCAAATTTAACACTTACCTGTCGATTAAAAGTAAAGATTTGCTCCCAAATGCCACCGTTTCCTCGTAGGTGCACGTATGTGATGTATGGAGAGAGGAGGAAAGGAATAAATAAAAATCCTCTGAAATAAGTAAATCATTCGCAAACACTGTCAAGGTCCTTTTGTTGCATTCTAAAGCCTTTTGAATAATTTTACTCATAGCAGCGCAAAGGAAAGGTCGTACTCCGAAAAGACATATATATGTCTAGGGCAATTACCGCTTTAGCTGAGCGAGTCGTTTATATACGCCGGTGGCACTTAAGTGGTTGAAGTCGTATTGTAGCTTTGCGTCAAAGTATAGTAATATTGAATTCAATGCATTGTTATTGTATGGAGGGGGCTGCAATAAAAATTATGATTAAATATTGGGTCGTAAATATTGAAAAATTGGGATGCACTGATATAATATTTACCTTCAGAAATCCTAAAGAACGTGAACGATCGAATTCAATTATTCCAGTGAGTGAGTGAGTGAATATGAACGTCGCACTGTCTTAGAAACACGAGGGCTTTTGGCGATGGTCCGCGTAATTTTGAACCATGGTCAAGTGACGTGGACGACGCCAGAGCTGGCACCCCCTCTCCTAACTACCACACCACACCCGAGGACGTTTGAGCTCTCGACAGATTTAACGTGCATCGCTCCCCTACACGGTGGGTCTTTAGTGGTACTGGGATCGAACTCATGACACGCTAGCCATGATCCGATACCTAGACCACTCGGCTACCGTGGCCACTCAAGTATTCCAGAGAAAATGCGTTGATTGATTTTTAAAAAAAGTAGCAATAAAGATAGAAAAATCATTGATCTGGCAAGAAACCACCAATTTGATTTGATTTGATTTTTGATTCATGTCGCAGTCTAAAGAAACATGAACCTCAAAATTTTCAACCTCTGTCAAGTAACTAGGATGACATGTGAATGGGCATCTATGGTATCTACGCTCCAGACTTCCACACCATACCGTGGCCATGGTAGCCAAGTGGTCAAGGCATTGGATCATGGCTAGCGTGTCATGAGTTCGATCCCAGTGCCACTGAAGACCCGCCGTGTAGGGGATTGATCCATGATAAATCTGTCTAGAGTTCAAACGTCCTCCCGTTGGTGTGGTGTGGTAGTTAGGAGAAGGAGGTGCTAGCTCAGGTGTCATCCGCATCACTTCAAAATTACGCGATCCGTCGCCAGAAGCCCTCGTGCAGCTGAACAGTGCGACGTTAATATTCACTCACTCACTCCATGCCGTGGCCGCGGTAGCCTAGACGTCAAGGTAACGGACTCGTGGCAGGCGTGTCATGAGTTCGAACCCAGTACCTCTGAAGACCCGTCGTGTACAAGGGCGATGCACATTAAATCTCTCCCGTTCAAACGTTCTCCCTGTGTTGTGGTGTGGAAGTTAGGAAAGGGGTGTGGCAGTTCAGGTGTCGTCCTCGTCACGTGACCACGGTTCAAAATTACGAGGTTCGTTGACGAAAGCCATCGTGTAGCTAGAACAGTGCGACGTTAATATTCATTCACTCACTTCAACGTGTGGACTTAGAGCCCTGAAAAATTTTACGAGCATCATTCCTTCTACATGGTGGGTCTTTAGTGGCACCAGGCTATGACATCATGACTCTCTGGCCTTGAGTTTGACTACTTGACTACTGCGACCACCGGGAAATCGCAAAAGGCATTTGGTTGCGATTAAACGTGAATATAATTGGGAGATAGAAAAAACGCAACAATCTAAAATACATTATTTCGATTTAAAAGTGGATTTTTTCCCCTTAAATCCTCATTGTTCTTGTAGTCTGTTGAAGTGAATGTTTTTTTAATGGTGATCACGAAACACAAAATGAACAAAAGCCGAAGCAAAATACTTTAAAGCTATTTCCTGATACTTCTAGTTTTTTAATACCCCTTTTAGTAGTTATATAACTGTTTTCTTCGTAACGCGCATTGCCCTTTTCTTCCTTATTTTTTTCATTTCCATTATACTTAAACTACTATATACTTTTTAAAGGTATCCATTACATTTTGAAAAATGACTGCGTAATTCTAATGGATTTTTTGTAGGTGAGAGGAATATATAGCTATATTAATCCCACCATTTAGAAAATTTTAAACTCTGCAGTTTTTAATAGTAATTAAATTCCTATTGTTAAAAAGTGTAATGTATTGAAAAGAATTTAATAGTGCTCTGGTGCTGTTTATATTTTTTCTTCCATTTAAAATAACTATAAAAATTGGTTTTTAAGCATATTTTATGTAATTTGAGTTAAAACCTCATAATTAAAAAAAATGTGTTCAATATAATTTTTCCGAAACGCTTACGGGAAAAATTACATTTTTTCCCCAGAATTCAAAAGAAGCAACGGCCTTCGTTATACCGATATTGGGTTTGATTTGAGACAGAGTTGATGTTTTATAAAAATTCATATCGTTTCATTCAGTTTTCTCATATGGACATGAGCCATGTTAATTTTTATAAATATACCCGGTCATCCTTTGCGTTTAGATGATTAAAAGTAAGAACAATAAAATTAACATAACTTCGATTTTACATTAAGTATTTTAACTGAAACTATACACCTCATTTAGTTTTTGCTTCAAAATTTGTGAGGCCGTGGTAGCCGAGTGGTCAAGATATCGGATCGTGGCTTGCATGTCACGAGTTCGAGCCTAGTACTTCTAAAGACCCGACGTGTAAGGGAGAGATGCACGTTAAATCTGTCAAGAGCTCAATTTTCCCTTCGTTGGTGTGGTAGTCAGGAGAGGGGGTGTCAGCTCAGGTGTCGTCCTAGTCACTTGACCATGGTTCAAAATTACGAAGTCCGTCGCCAAAAGCCCTCGTGTAGCGGAATAGTTCAAAGTTAATATTCACTCCCACGCTTCAAAATTTGTTTTGCACCTTCCTTTTCCTTAAAATATTTTAATCTACAAATATTTTAATTGAAAACCATAAGATAAAATATATATATATAAATATAGACCATATTCGATTAAACATAAACTCCAAATTCAGGATATTTGCTGTGAGCTTTAAAAATCAGGATAATCACAAATAACTTTTGATAATCCAGTAATAATAAATGAATAATAAGTAAATTTTTTTAAAAAATTGAAAAGGTACAAAATGGAAGTGATTAACAACGCTAAAACCTCGTGAGATCTTAAGAAACCTCGCTATGTTTAATGTATTTCAATACAATATCTATAGTAAATTTCAGAGTTAATTGCAAAATGCTATTTAATGAAATGGAAGTATAAATTTTTTTTTATCACAACATTCAGAAATTCAGCGCTACGGCATAATTCTGAAAAAAAATTTCATCAAATTAGGCTGTTAAAAGGAAACAAAATAAGAAAAATTAGAGGGGAGAAGTCGTTTATCTGTACTATTCCAATTAAATGATTTTTAGTTTAATTTTACGATTACTGTATAGTCATGTACTGAAATTTCCAAAGTGATTGTTTTTTCTGTTTATTTTAATAACTGTAAAGTCATATTTGATCACACTGTACCAAACATGTACACCCTAAAGTCTCACATATCACCTCTTCACGATGGACA